CCCCACGTTGGAACCACTGACCTAGACTGTCTGGCCCTTTCCCACAGGCATGTATGCTTCCTAGAGTGTCAGCAGGAGACGCAGAACTCACCCGGGAAGCGAGGGCTGCACCGTCAGAGGCGTCCTCTCAGGGGGCTTGTGCTCAGGCAGCCACACCTCCAGGGTCTTTGCAGACGCCCCTCGAGACAAGAAGGCCGTGTCACAAAACCCAACTGTCTGACCCACGGGGCACCGGGAGCGTGCAACCACTCCGGGGTGGGGGACTCAGCACGGGGACAGGACACTCAATTCCAGGGGGAAAGGACAGAGATGGTATTGATCACGGGTGTTCTGTACGGGGAAGACCTTGAGCAGCTCCAGTGGGACTGGGGCGTCAGGGGGACCCTCCCAGAGTGACAGGGCCGATAGACGGCGTGAACTGGGGAATGAGCAGACACTCAGGATGAAGCGAGGAGCGGGGAGCAGGTGTCGGGTCGAGCCCAGGCCTCTGGGAGACAGTAAAGAGCATAGAATAGGGGGCGGGGTGGCTATGCACTTGGCTGAGCAGATCAAGGCTCTCAGACTTCAACTCACGGAGTTCCTGCTATTGTTACTCTTGTTGCCTGCAACCCCAGGTACACAGAATCGGATCAAATTCTCTGTGTACCTGGGGTTGCCAGCCATCATTGACACCATGACACCAGACATCGTTGTTCCATGAAGGTTCTTTCGTATTTTGATCTTTATTCAACATTTTAAGGATTAAATGCCCATTCATAAACCCCCCAGAGCTCCAAGCAGAGCGGAAACACTAACTGTAACTTGCCCGCCCTGGGGTGGGTGGTCCTGCAGCTCCCTGTCAGCCCTGCCGAACACGGCTGAGACCCACCGTGGCCACACCCCTGATCTGGATTTGAGAGCTGAACTTCACCACACGCTGTTACCATCGATACAGTGCCAGCCATGCCTGGGAGCTCTGCTCGTTGAAGAAATGGCTGGTCTGAAGGACAGACAGACAGCCCAGCACCCACAGGAAGCTCTCCCCAAGGTCATGAAAGCAGGAGATTGGGAGCCAGTGGAAAGGCGCAAGCGCAGGCAGGCGGAGGGTGGCCTGCACCCAGGGCCCTGGTGGCCAAGCCAGAAGCGAGGCTGTGAGCTCTGAGGCAGGAGGAGCCTGGGAGGGCACTGGGCATGGGGTCAGGGCTGCCCGAGCCAGACTGTGGCGCTGAGGGGACCGGGAGCATGGCACTGCCTTCCCAAGGCTTGTTTCCCTGTTTCCTCAATGAGGGCTTGATGGCACCCATCTCCAACTTGGTGACAATAGCCATAATGTCGTTACTATTCTTCCTCCTCACCTCTGGGACAAAGCCCCAGTCCCATTTGGTGCTCAGACACTTGTCCCATCGTCTGCAGGACCAACTCAGGCTCCTCGGGCTCTGGGAAGGTCTGAGGCCTGAGCCGAAAGCTTGAGAAAAGAGCTAAGGAGGGTGACCGTGACCGAGCTCACTCCAGCTTCATCAAGAAGCAACCAAACCGCGGAATTTTCCTGCAAACCATCGACCGCTCAGTGACAGCGGACGTTTGTTTTTCATCTTCCTTCCCTTCCCTTCTCTGAGAGGAGGCCCAGCGACCTCGCACACCAGGCTTGGCTCTGGCCAGTGGCCACGGGGTTTCAAATTTTGAAACGGGCCTTTTGCAAAATGTTCAGTTTCAAGCCCTAGTCCAACTGCCCACATCCTGTCCAAGCTTCCTGGGGGAGTGAGATTTATTTAAGGAAGGAATAAAATCCCCATGTCTGTGCCATGGACTGCAAACACGCTCGATCCCAGGCAATTTCAAGGATTAAGGTTACATATTTCTTAATGAGCCGCAGGCGGAGGCACAGTGGGGTGGGCAGGATCGGGAGGACAGGCCTCGGTAGGGAGGGGACGCTTCTCCTCAGCACCATGGACCCTGTCCTGTGCCAGGATGACAGCCTCACAGTCATTCCTTCGTGCATTCACTCCGTCATCCAACCAGCATTCTGACGGACCCATCAGCCGACAGAGCACTAAATGGGACTGGGGCTGTGTCCCAGACATTGAGGAGGAAGACTGATACCTACATGATCGCTACTGTCACCGAGTTGGGGATCCACTAGCAGAGGTTCCACACTGGACAGTAGGGGCTCTGAGGCCCCCAAGACTGAGTATCCACACTCGGGGAGCTCAAAGTCTGATTGGGAAGGTAGATACCTAAATAGGTCATGACCGAGCAAAAGAAGTTTCTGAATGGAGGTCAAGTTTCCAACCGTGTATCCGTTCTAAGAGTGGGGTCATTCATCCCTCCAGCTAGAGGATGAGCTTGTGCAAAGGCCCAGAGACACAGACACACGGAGACTTGGGGAAGCGGCTGCTGGCTGGTACAAAAGGCCAGGGAGCGCGTGGTGGGAGGTGTGGCTAGAGGCCAAATCATGAAGATCCTTGAGTGGGAAACCAAGGGGCTTGGACTTCCGCCTGGAGTTTCCAGAACTCACAAGAAGGCTCTAAAGAGCATGGGACTCATCCTCACGCCTTCTAGAAAGATGACAATGACTGGAGCGAGAACAGACTAGAGCAGGGACAGGAAGACCAACCGGAAGACTGAAGTGAGCCCACAGTGACCCTGGCCCACTGGAGAGATGTTAAAGGGGCGGGACTGGAGTCAGAGGTGCGCTGTGGACACTACAGCAATGTTAGCAGGGGGAGGGCTCCTGGGGCTGCCATGGGAAGAGGCTCAGAGTGAATATGGGAGACGGAGAGAGATGAAAGGGCCGATGCAATGCAGAGCCATCCTACCCTAAGTTTGTGAGTTGGCGGCACATCCAAGTGCAACACTTGAAGGTGGACATGGCAGATCAAAGCTGGACACTAACAGCTTCCTTGACAAGCTGGTGCTGGGGAGAAACCCAGCAGCTGGCTCCTCCCAAGCCAGGCAGCTGCAGAAACTCCCAAATCTGCTTCTTTCTCTCCTCCAAGGGTGTCCCCACTGACCTGGCCGAGGAGCCTACGCCATCTAAGGGCCTTATCATGAGCTCCTGTTAGGCCAACTTAATTCTCACAACCATTCAGCTGGGGGGCGTCTGTGTCCCCATCTCATGGATGACGCTGAGGCGGGGTCCCAGGATGCTTCGCATGTAACCCAACATCCCACAACTAGAACCAGGAGGCAGGGAGCGAGCCCACTCACTAGCATAAAAACAAGAGGCAGAAAAACAAGGCTGGGTTATTTTCAATCTCTTGTCTTGGCAGGCGCACGGGCAGCTTTCGGGAAGACCCAGGGCTCCCATTCCACCATGCCAAGCCAATGTTGCCCAAGGACGGGCCACCATCCAGGGCAGTCAGAACTGCCAGTATCCTGCCTCACTGCCTGGCGCTGGGCTCCAGGGAGATACTGGCCATCTGATACGCAACACACTTCCCCACAGAACGGCTCTCAGGCCGCCTGAGAAGGGTTATCCTGGTTCCACAAAAGCACATGTATTTTTAATGATTGATTCATTCATTCGGTAATAATTTACTGGCACCTGCTATGCTCAGGGCTGGGAAGGCACCGGGTACACGGAGAAAAATTTGACCCAGTTTCTGGCTCTCAGGGCACATCAGCTGAGTGATGACACTAAACAAATGTTCATGATGGAATAAGACTGGTGATCTGGGTGAGGTAACTACAACGTGCTGTGAGGTTGGGGTGGGGCTAACTCTCTGGAGTGGACAGGGAAGGAGGCCCATGGTGAGGTCATTCACTAGTTGCCTCACACATGGATCACAGACTCATCCTCTCATTTATTGGTTAATTTGCATATTCAATCATCCATTCACAGAGCAGTTAATTTATTCTTGGATTACACACTCATTGACTCACTCACTAATTCCTTCTTTTATTCTTTCACTCTAATATAGTCATTCCTCTGTCCATTTGCTGATTCATTCCCTCATTAGTTCGTTTCATTCACTGACTTACTCATTAGTTAAATTATTCAACTTTTTCCTCTTTCATTGATTTATTCATTTATTCGTTCACTCATTTTCTGAGTTATTAATCAAGTCATTTGGTTATTCATTGACTCATTCACTGATTGACTCACTGGTTCATTTATTCCCTCATTACTAATTAATTTTCACTTATCCATCAGTTCATTAACTCATTCAGAGATTCACTTATTTATTCACTCATCCATTTGTACACTCATCTTTCACTTACGAGTCATTGACCTACTTTATTCAATCACTCATTCCCTTTTTGAAAATTTTACTTACAGGTCCATTCACTAATTCATCACACATGTATGCACTTATTAATTTAGTTATTCAACTCACTGCCAAATCATTCACCCATTGGTGGGCTCCTTCGTATTTTCATTCATTTTTTCATCCTTTGTTGACACAAAGGCTCATTCTTTCACTAACTCACTGCTTCATTCAGTCTTTATTTCAATCATTGTTTATTCAGCTACTCATTCTATTAATGTTTATTACAGTGGTTCTCAACCTGTGAGTCACGACCCCTTTGGGGGTCAAATGACCTTTTCACAGGGGTCGCCTAAGACCATCGGAAAACACATATATAATTACATATTGTTTTTGTGATTAATCACTATGCTTTCATTATGTTCAATTTGTAACAAGAAAAATACATCCTGCATATCAGATATTTGCATGATGATTCATAACAGTAGCAAAATGACAGTTATAAAGTAGCAACGAAAATAATTTTATGCTCGGGGGTCACCACCACATGAGGAGCTGTATTAAAGGGTCGCAGCATTAGGAAGGTTGAGAACCACTGGTTTATTAAATGCGATATCCATGCACGGCACAATGGGCACCTGAGTGCGGTTCCTGACGTCACGGAGCTTAGAGCCTTGTGAGCTGGTTACTGGCTCAGGCATCATCTCTTCCATGAAGCGCCTGGTACTTAAGCTGCAGGCCCACTTCTGTGCCTTTTTAATGATGTAACGGAAACCTCTGCACTAACCACTCAAACCAAGAACTTTGTTACTTACAGAGCACGGTATGCTCCTTCCCCAGAGGGCTAAGGCGGAGATCTTCATGACTGCAGAATCATTTAATTCGCTGTGGTGCCTCCATCCTGTGGGATGTCAAAAGAATGCTGATAAATGAAAAGGCCTAGACTGGGGTTTTAATATGGCAAACATGAAAGAAATTAATCATAAACAATGCTTTATGTCACAGTCTTATCTCTGGCTCATGAATAGACTGCCATTGTATTAAAGTATTTAGTTATCCATTTACTAATATAACAAACACCCTTCAATAAGCCACCCAACATGAGAACTCTGTCCCTCACCCACAGAACTAAGAGGAGCCCAAATGTTTTACTTTGATTAAAAGCTTTATCATCTGCGTGGAACTGGTTAAATCATAAACATTATTCCTTTGTCCCTCTGAGCTACTAGTAGCTATGAACTTATTTATTCACCACAATGATAAAAGCAAGATCTTTGCAAACACTCAGTACAATAGCACTGAGTAATAGTAACGCGTGTGCAATTGCTGCTCATCACCCAACTACTGGTATAGCACTTCACTGTGGAATTTAGTGGGCACAACAGCTCTAGTTATATAACAAAACTTATCACTGGCCTTCTTTAATTTAAATAGTGCTTAATCTTTAATTTTATAAATACTTTATATGCAGTAATAAAAGAAACAACCAGTAGACCAAAGACATCCCAGAATTCATATATCTGTCTATATGTGCTGCATTCTGAAATTTAAAGAAACAGGAATCCCAGATCCTCAATGATAGATTGGTCCTGACACTTGTTCATTACATATGCTACAGCTGAACTGGTGTAGCAGGGATTTTATTCCATTCTATTTGTTAAGCCCTTCATGTATCAGCTCACTGTAATAATTACCCAGGAACTACAAAAGCACAAGAATGGAATAACTGAGTATTCCTATCAACTGTCTGTGGGATCACATCTAAAGGAGCAATAGACTAGATTTCGTTTTGTGTCAGATCTCAGACATCCAGACACATGTTATTCATCATCCTGGACATGCACCGCCAGGCGTTACCAATGGTCCAAGCACATGAATCATTGTCTTCATTTATTCTTTGTCTATTGATCTATTCATTAATTTACAACTAAGTAAGATATATACATGAATCAGAAACTCAGAATAAGAGCCCTGACACCCTTAATGTTCATAAAATCATTTCCCATAGACCCTAGATTATGTTTCTTGAATGGATGTTTAAGAAACATATCAGTGTTTCAAATATGGCTGCCTGAATATAACCATTCCTATTAATCCCATGTTCATTATGGGCCATGTTTAGTCTTCTTTGATTATATTGTCTACTTATTAATAATGCATTAACCAATCCAACCCTCCCAACCAAGACAAGAACTGCACCTATTATCCATGCTGGAAGTGCATGCTCCTAAGATGACCATTGAGTTGGAGGCCATGGCAGAATGTTAAAATCAACACAGGAGTGGCCTTTCATTTACTCAGTAATTTAACATTTCTTAATTTATGGTACTAGTTGGGTATTTTCTCTTAAAACAAATGTTGAATTTGCAATTGATCCAAAAAAAGGCACTGATTTTTACTTATCAATAGCTCTGTAATCTTTAGCCAAAGGGATAACACACTTGGTCCCCTTATTATCCATTCCAAATTATATTAATTTCTTTCTTACCACATGTTTTGATAACTGGATTATGCCTCACTCTCTCCATCATTAATTATTTGATATTGACTCTTTTATAATAACATAATCATAATCCATGAACCATATAATTAGAAGAATAAGAATCTTAAATATCTATAACATCTATCTGTAGGATTTTTTCCAACATGACAATAGACGAGATTTGTATTGTGTTGGACCTCAGAGTTCCAAACACATAGCTGCCATCATCCATGACTCCTATGCCACCAGTGGTCACCTCTGATCCAGACATGCTACTCCGTTTTTAAATTCATGTCTACATGAATTTTGTTAATTAATCAGGTCACCAATAATAAAATATATACCTAAAGTCACAAACTTGAGAGTAAGATACATTCATAAAACATCTCTTATAGAATTATTACTCATGGCGATAAATCTCTTTCATTACTCGACTTCCATGTTGCATTTAGGGATTAATCAAAGCAATACTTCCTATGAACCCTATATTTATGACTGGGCCAGGGCTGTCCTTCAATAATTACATTTCACAATTTTAAAATGATACAGTGAATATTTTTTTAAAAAACATAAAACAATGACACCAAGACAAGACCTGTGACTATTACTCACATTGGTCTCCATGCTCATAATGCACAGATATAACTATGGAGCTCACGATGCTTAAATCAGCTCGAGTGAGTCCAGACTGCGGGGTACAGAGCAGAGGAAATGATTTTTAAAAGAGGGAGACACTGTCTGCACTGGTCTGTGCACCCCACCTTCCATTCAGTCAGTCATTCAGGGAGGTAGTGATTTGGGTTAACATTTTATCTTCTTGGAAGTAAATAAACAGTATCATTCTTGCCGCTGACGCAGAGCACGGACTATTATTTCACACTGTCTGTAGTATCGCCAGCCAAAGAGAAAACGCCCTGTAACCAGTTACTTCCTCAATAATGTCAGAGTATTCAATATGTCGGAGCATTTCCTGGCCAATCACATACTGTCACAATTGGACAAAGCTTTGCTCCATTCATCTTTATTTATTTATGTATTTATTGATGGATTCTTTTGTTTACCCAATTATAATAATGGAATAAAAATACACAAAGATCAAAAATTTAATAAAGCATCTTCGTGTATTCCTGACATCTGTCAATAAAACCCCCTCAAACAAAACCGAGCGAGTGATTTTTTTTTAAACTGAGACGATATCGTTTATGGTCCTGCTGTCTGCATTTCATTCATTCAGTCATATAGGTAATTTTTATATTTTCATAATGTATATATTTTTTTCTCTTAACAAAAGGACAACAGACAACACCAAGGTGGTTACTAAAGGAAAGAGGATATGGAGGTAGTAAAAGGTAAAGGGGGTCAAATATATGGTGACAGAAGACTTGACTGTGGGTGGGCGGCACAGAATGCAATATACAGATGATGTGTCATAGAACTGTACAGTCGAAACCTATATAATTTTATTGACCATTGTCACCCCAATAAATTTAGTTTTTTAAATGAGGACAGCGTCAAACTTGGAACTGATCTGGTACAATAAAACTGACTTTTATTCGTCAGTGTCTATTTATCAGTGTTATTTAAACAAAGAAGTAAAACTTTCAATTCATTGATGTCTTAATGGGCATCAATTATTATTAATATTTTTTGCCTCATCACATACGTTCTTAGTTGGACAATAATTAACCCTTTTCCTTTTCTTTCTTTATTTTTATTTATTTAATCATTCAATCATTGATCTGTTAATAATAATAAATCTAAATCTAGGAATCCAGAATAAGAACATGATCTTCATATATTTCTGTTGATAGGACTCTTAACAGAGGGAATACACTAATTATATTTTGTGTTAAGCCTCAGAATTCCAGACTCATCTGATTCATTATTCATAACTCATATGAGCCAGTCGTCAGCAGTGGTCCATATGAGGCCACCTTTCTTCCTAAATTTGTATCAATTAAATCATTAATTCATTGAGAGTAATAAAATACACATGATTCACAAAAATGCAAGAACAAAATCCCTGAATAACCCTAAAATCTATTTATAGAAATCTTTCCCAATACAGTATATCTTTTGCATTAAGCAACTTTAATGTTGAACATTATCAATTAATCAGCATAATGTGTCATTATATTACTCAATGGGCCATAGATAACATTTTGTTATATTTAATACTTTTTAATAATAGTGGGAATTTGATTAAGGTTATTACCTTAAACAAATGACCAAAACCATGACAAGAACCTCGATGACTACTCACCTTGTCTCTCTGAAAACAGAAGGGACATCTTATTTTGATCATGGAAGAAGGCTTAAGTCAGCTGGGTGCTTTGTTTCTACAGAGTATCAAGCAGAACAGATGATAAAAAGATTGAGACATTGTCTCCATTGATCTATAATTTCCATAATTACTTTGGTATTTATTCATTCATGGTAAAATTTATTTTTATCTTTATAAAATAAACTTCCCATATTTATCACTGAGTTAGAGTTGCCCTCTTAAATATCTTTTGCACTTTCTAATGAATAATTTAAAAAAACACATTGGAACCAAGAAAAAAACTTGAACTAGTACCCACATTAATCTCTGTCCTCCTACTAGAGGCAACTAGAAAGCTGGTGACCATGGATAATGCATAAATCAGCTCAAGAGTGTCTGAGGAGGACAGAGCAGATAAAAAATAAAATTAAACTAACTGTCATTGATACTTGCTTTCCACACATTTCATTAACTCAGTACTTAGGTATGTATTAATTTTTATTAATATACATTCTTTATCTTAAGAAAAGTAAAAACTCAATCTTGAGATTGACCCAGAAGAATAAAATAGACTTCCTTATCAGTATCTATATAATCCTTAGTCACTGAGGTGACCGATTGAGCCATTAATTTCTTAATGGGAATCAATGTTTTCAATGGCATTATTACCTTTTACCTCACTACAAAACCTTCATAATTGAACAATACTTCACCTCATTCTTTATGTTTATTTAATAGTTTTATCACTATTCCATTAATAAATACACATCTGTCTCTGTGAAATCAATACACTAATAGGATCTCTATATTCCTGACATCTCTCTATAGAAACCATTTCAACAGAAGAAACAGACTATGTTCTAGATCCCAGAGTCTCAGACATGTATCTTCATTGTCATGACTCCTACACCACCAAGAATCATTATTGATCCATGATTTGGTCTATTTTTCATCATCTGTTACTACATTTGTATCGATAAAATGATTACTTCATTCATAATAATAAAAACAATTCATGGATTATTAAAAGTTAAGAATGAGATCATTTTACACAATCATTTCCCACATAGACTATACTTCATTCATTAATGGGCCCCAATCTTGCACATTATCAATTAATCAACATAAAGTTTCATGTCATACTTAACAATGAGACATGGCTAACTTGTTATGAATTGAATGCCTTTAAGTGATACTGTAAGTATCCTTAAACAAACGACCCACTCCATGATAACAACATGACCGTTAGGTACCTTGACCCCCTCTCAGACACAGAGGGAACATGACAGACAGCAGAAGCCGAAATCAGTTCCATTTGGGAGACAAATGGCCAAAGAAACATGATAAAAATGTTGAGACTTTCTCTCCGTGGATTCAGAGTTTCCACTATTTATTTGGATAGTTATTTAAGCATGTATTAATGTATGGTCATATTTATTTATTTTTCTCTCAACAAATCAAATGTCAAAGTTGAAACTGACTCCATCGGTAACCAACTACTATTTATCCCTGTTTTTCATACTTACTCAACGACATATACACTGGGTGGCATTATTTTCCATCCCGCTATATATTTTTGACAATGATACGGGTTTCACCCTTTTCATATGTATTGACTATATATTTGTTGGTTTACGTTGCCATTTCTAATGAAATTTTTAAATATTCATGTATACAAAGACCAAGAGCATGACCCTTTCTATACCTAGCCTCTCCCTATGGGATCACCTCAAATGGCGGGAAAAGGACTCCTACGCACGCTCATCATCATCAATTATCTAGGGTATAGCCTCATTGTCTTCATTCATGTCTATACTATACATTTTTATTGAAGAAATCATCAATTGACTACGAATAATAAAATAAATACCTCAAGGAGTCACAAAAACTTGAAACAAGAGTCTTAAAAATCTCCAACATGTGTCTTTAAATTACTTTCCATAAACAATATATGTTTCATTAATGACCTCAAAGGTTAATTAATTTCCTACAAAGGTTAACGTAATACTTCATATTAGCAACATTATTCTTTTTTTAGCATGTTTGGCGATCAGAGATCTTATTTCAGACTTTAATAATGTGGTGAAAACCTTTTTTAAAAAAACAACAAAACCAAGAAAAGAACTATGGTACATTGCGCTTCATGATTTTAATGCATAGATTCAACTTCAAAGCTTATGATCATGGCTGCATGCTTAACTCACCCACATGCAATGATTTTAAGGAGTACAAGAGAAAACAATAATTTATAAAGTTGAGATATTTATTCACTAATTTTAGAATGTCACCTTTTTATTAGTCAGCTATTTAGTCATTAAGTAATGAATTGAGATAATGTATAAGTAAATAAACAATATCAACGTTGCAATGGACAGATAATATGAATATTGACTATTACTTATCAATAATTATATCATACTTAGTCAAAGAATAACACTTTGTACCTATATACTAATAGATATTTGTTTCCAATACATTTATTAATAGCTTTTTATCTAAACACATATTTTTAAAATTGGACAAAGTTTCACCATCTTCCTATTTCTATTTATAGGGTATCCCCCCAAAAACTGTATACACGTACTTTGAATAATTATAAAGGCAGTGTTTTTAGAAATATGTACAATTTTCAAAATTGAGCTATCAGCTATTAAAGTGTGTATACATTTTGGGGGGACACCCTGTATTTATTTATTTATTACTTCTTTGAATGCCCCCTGCCCTCTGAGATTCGTCAGTCTGTTCCATCTTTCCATGTCACTGGTTCTGTTTTACTGGTCAGTTTATTTTGCTCATTAGATTTCACATATAAGTGATTTCCTGTGGTATTGTCTTTCTCTGATTCACTTATTTTGCTTAGCATAATAATCTCCAGGTCACTCCACGCCATCTCGAAGGGTAATAGATCCTTCATTTCTACAGCTGCATAGCATTCCATTGTGTAAATGTAGCATGGGTTATTTATCCACTCATCTACTGATGGGCACTGGGCTGTTTCCAGATCTCAGCTATTGTAAATAACACTGCTATGCACATAGGGATGCACATATTCTGTAATTACATTTAATATGTGGAATAATACAGTGAATACCATAAAACAAGCCATTCAATCTAAAATATTGAGATTACTTACGTGGGTCTCCATGCTCCTACAACATAGATGCACCCAGAACATTCAGGACCAGGGGAGATGCCTAAGTCAGGTCGCGTGCGTCCGTTCTGAGGCATAAGAGCAAAGCAGATAACAGAATGAGGCATGCTTTGCAGGAAGAGAAAGACCGCACTGCTTCTGAGGCGGACCTCAGCGTCTCAGACATGCATTACTGGTCATGGTGACTCAGAACGCCGGCAGGTATCATCATTGATCCAGAAGACCATGTTGTCTTCATTCATTTCTATGTTGTTTATTGATTAATTCATGAATTCACTCATTATAACTTAAAAGCCAACAAGGCCTTAGAATGTAACTAGACATTCTTAGAATTTGGAATCATTCTCACAACAAGATATCATTGTTGATTATTCGGTTTTGCACACATGAATTAATCAAAAAACTATTAATGTTGCAATTATTCACAACGAACACCAGAAAAGACAAGAACTTTCATTATTACTCACGTTGGTCTCCATGCTCCAAAAACAGAGGTGCAATCCTATGGCTCATGGTGAAGGAAGAACCCCTAAAGCAACTCGAATTTGTCCATTCTAAGGGATAAAAGGCTGAACAGATGATAAAAAAAAAAAGTGAGAAAATCTCCCCATTGATTGTTGCTCTTCACCTTTGAGTTCGCAAGGCACTTAGGCAGTCACTAATTTGGTATAAATTCTTTTCTCTCTTAAGAAAACAAACAACGTTGATCTTGCCCCTGACCTAGCATCTGAACACTGTCTGTGAATCATACTATTCAAGTCATCCTTAGCCATGCAGGTAGCAGTTATGTACCATTTACTTCTAATTAAACTTCAGGGTTTTCATAATGCATCAATAGTCGTTTGTGACGTAATCACGTATTTTTACAATAAGTTGTTATAAAATGTCACTACATTCATCTTTACTTATAATTTGTTTACAGATTCTCTCATTTGTACAATTATAATAGGATGTAAATGCAGGAACTCTGAGACCAAACTAGGTTTCTTTTATGATAGACCTCAGAGTCGCAGACATGTAGTCATCTCTAAAAAAAACATTTAACGAAGAAAATGGCACTTTGACTATGATCACATTAATCTCCATCTTCCTATTATGTAGAGGCAAGCAGGGAAGACACTGAAGCAGTCCTAAATATCCCTAGATATTTAATGTAAGACCTAATGGCCATTGATCCCTGCTGACCATGTTTCATAGACTCGGGGTTTAGCTATTTCTTATTTTATCTTAATGTATGTACTGTGTGTCCCAAAAAACTTATACATACTTTAACAGCTGATAGCTCAATTTTGAAAATGAAATGCATTTTAATAAACACTGCCTTTATAAATTCTTCAAAGTGTGTGTACACATTTTTTGGGACACATGATGAAAAACTCAATCTTGACACTGACCCAGAACAATATAATAGATTCATACTAATCAATGTCTATATGATTCTTAAGCAAAGATGAAATTCACAGCTACATTGTTTTCTTAATTAATATGTCCTTTCAATTTTGATAATATCCTTTGCCTGACCAAATACATTCATGGTTATGTATTTCTTCATCCTGATTCTCTAAATAGTTAACTATTTGTTTAATATGTCTATCAGTCTATCAATAAAATATCTACTGGTATGTCAATGAAATCAGTACAAAAACATGACCTGTGTATTGATTTGTATTGATCCTGAAATCTATCTATCAGAGTTCCAGACACATATTCAACATATATGACTCAGATGCCACCAGTAGTCATCATTGATCTAATTAAGCACTAATTATAATTTTAAAACTTGGTGATTCACAAAACCAAGAAGACAATGATATCCCTATTATGTATCTAGAATTATTCTCATATCAATATACCTCCTTCATTAATAATCTCAAATTTCATTGGAGCATTTATCAATATACTGTTTCCTGTTAATACAAAATTTATCAATGGATGACAGTTGGATTACTTTGATTCCCTATGGCATGTTTTAGAAATATACTAAATACCCTAAAAAAAAATCATTAAAACCCAGACAGGAACTTTGACTATTTATTACTCACGGTGCAATCTGTGCTGCTCACATGGAGATGGCAGCATGGAGCTGCCCCCATGGAATAAGACTTAATTAGCTCAAATGGTCCATTCTGAGAGATTCTAAGCACAGTTGAACAGAAGAAAATTAAAGTATTACATAGGTATTTAAAATTTCTGTGTATATATTATCTTCCCTTAACAAAAGGAACCATCTCAAACTTGAGACTAACCCAAAACAACAGATTCACCCAATTATTTTCTTTTTCCTTAAATTTACTGGGGTGACATTGGTTAATAAGTTTATGTAAGTTTCAAGTGTCAGTTCTATGATACATCATCTGTATATTGTATTGTATACCCACCACCCAAAGTAAAATCATCTTCCATATATTTGACCCCCTTTAGCATTTACTACCCTCCCAAACCCTCCCCCTGACTATGAGTTTTTGTTTGTTTTTCTTGTTTGTTGATTTACTTTCAGTATTTCTTAATGAACACAATGTTTTAATTTTTAAAATATTATTTCTTTACTTACCACATATGTTCAAAGTCGCACAATGCTTCACCCTTTTTTCTTTAGCTATTATTCACATTTCTTGACTGGTTCTATAGACCCATTAATAATAAAAAGTATAAATCTATGAAGCCAAAATAAGAACATGATCTCTGTATATTCTTAACATCTGTCTACAGTATCGAATATACCAGAGACAATACACTAGGCATTGTGTTGGACCTGAGTTTCAGACACATATTTTCAAATTGTTATCACTATCATGGTCCATCAGAAGTCCACTTTTTCTTCATTCATTTCTATTTTTGTGTTGATGAATTCATTAATTCACTGATAATAAAAATACATTATTCACAAAAACTTAATAACAAGATACTTAAATATCCTTAATTTCTACCTGAAGAATTATTATCAACTTAGGTTTATGTCATTCATTAATCAATATCAATGTTACATGTTATTAATTAATCAAGATAATGTTTTCTATTAGATTGATTATTGGGCAATAGGTTCCTTTCTGATAATATTACTATTGGTAATACTATAAACATCCTTAAACAATGACCCAAGCAGAACAAGACCTTAGACTTTTACTCACTTTAGTATCTTTCCTAGATAAAGGCAACATAGCAATCTTGATCGTGGCACAGTAGACAAAATTAACTTGATCACCTCCTTTGAAAAGTACCAAGCAGAGAGTTGATAAAAACATTGGGACTTTCTCTTCATTGATTCATAGTTTTCACCAATTATTTAAACAGTCATTTAGGCATTTATTAATTTATGATAATACTTATTTTTATTTTTAACTTAATAAACTTTAAACCTACAACTGACTCAGGCAATCACTGACTCTTACATTTCATTGTTTTTATGAACCTTAGAGTTGCAACACACTTGGTCTAGTTATTATTCATTCTAATGCATATTAATATTCATTTACCTTGATATTTATCAGAGAATAATGCTTCACCCTCTTCATCTTTGTTCATTTAAATACTTGTTATTTATTCTGCCATTGATACTTTGTTAATATTATTAAAATCATGACCCCGAAGACCAACACAAATGTATATGCTTCACATCTGTCTAGAGCAGGGTGGGGACTACCGGCTTGTGGGCCACGTAAGACCTGCGAAGTCATTGGTCTGGCCCTGCCGAGGCAACCGCAGGTGGGACTCGGAATTCAATAAATCTAGGAGCTTTTTTCATAGCAACATAAAATTATATTAAGTGAATTATATTCAGCAAGTGATGTTATCAATCTCCACCTGGCCCTTGCCAGGATAAAGCTCCCACACGCTAGTCTCGAGGATCCACTGACACATGGGGAGTGGACTAGTACCTTTCGTGTGGACACATAGTATTCATTGTCCACCAGCCATCATGGATCCATGGCTGTCCTTCTTTCTTTTCATTCTAATTAACATGTGTTTATTAGTTCATTATAAAAAATGAACATTAACCTTAAAAACAAGAATAAGATCCTTTGACATCCCTATCATCTATCTGTAGAATCATTTCCACGTTGACTAGATATCTTTTATTAGCTAACCTTAGTATTACATTTATGGATTAATCAAGGAAACGTTTCCTATCAATTCAATATTTAACATGGCCTATTTCACCTTCTTTGATCATAATTAATACTTTTAAACAATACAGTGAATACCCTTAACGGAGCCATTCCCACGAAGACAATAACTTTAATTATCACTCACATGGTCTCCACGGAGGAATGCCACAATCAGCGGGAGTGCGTCATTCCGAGGAGTCGAGAACAGAGCAGATGACAAAAACAGACTTCCTTCCATTGATCTTTTATGGAAGCATTTAGATATTTGTTATTAAGAACATTTACCTCATTGTCTCTTGTGAAAACAAACTACTTTGAACTTCCCACTGACAAAGAACATAAACATAGTCTGTAATTTACCCTGTCTACATCACTTTTCGCCAAAGAGGTTATAGTCATGTACCATTTATTTCTCTTTGGACTTCGCTATTTCACATTATATTAATAGAATTTATTGCCTCTCCATATATGTTTTAAGTTGGACAACACAACTACCATTCAGCTTTATTTTTATATATTTCTTCATTGATAAGTCATTGATCCAATTATAATAAGGAACAAAAATGCATATAGAGAAATACCCCATTTTCAGACACATATTATTCATTATCTGTGACTCATACGCCAGCAGGTATGATCATTGATCCAGAAGACCCCTTTGTCTTCATTCATTTCTACATTGTTTATTGATTAATTCATTAATTAATTCACTAATTAAAATTTTAAATCCCCATGACAATCAAAGGCTTAACAAGATCTTAAGATGCCTAATATGCATGAAGAATCATCCCTACATTAATATCTGTCATTATCTTTTCTTTTGTGCTTTTAATCAAGATACTGCTTCCTACTAATCCCATGGTTGTTACTAGAATACAGTTCACCTTCTTTGATTGGATTTCACACTTTTTATTAATACAGTGAATATACTTAGACAAAGCAGCAAAACCAAGACAAGAACTTTCATTATAACTCACATTGGTCAGCTCCGGGGCTCTGGATCAAGGAAGAGTCCTTAACTTAGTCCAGTGTGTCAGTCCTGAGAAGAAGAGAGCAGAGCAGATGATACAACTAATTGAGACATTCTCTCCATTGATCCTTGCTTTTCACGTTTTGTTTATTCAGCAGTTTGGGCAATGGTCAATTTGGGATCTATTTTTCCCTTAAGAAAAGAACAATGTTGATCTTGCAAATTGATCCAGCATCTGAACAATGTCTATGACTTATAATGTTTGTCATCTTTACATAGGTAGTAGTGAGGAAGCATTTATTTCAAAGGAACTTTAGGATTTTCATAATATATCAATAGTATTTCTTACATAAACACATATTTTTATAATTGATCAATGCTTCATTACATTCATCTTTATTTATAAATTTATAGATTCTCCTATTTATTTAATTAAAATAATAGGATAAAAATGAATGAAGACTAACAGCAAAAGCAAGATCCTTGT